TATATTTTCAGTATGTTTTAAAAAAGTAGATAAATTTCATTAAATGTTTGCTTGCTTACGCCTATGACACTTACGTAAGTATAGACGACGAATAGGGGGAAAATGATCTTTTATAAATGTAAGCTTAGTATTCACATAATCAGATCTTATATTTAAAACTGTGTTAAGTACAATTTTAAGATATCAAAAACCGTTACAGAAACGATCTTGAAAAAAATAAGAGCTAACTATAAATACCAATATATGACTAATCTCTTCAATAACATGTGTATGTTGAAACAACTTGTAGTGAGTTTCTGACAATTTTGCAATCATTTTCGTAAATATTTATGAGTATAAATAAATACTCTTTCTCTATTGACTTTTAATAAGAAATTTAATAAAAAAAACCTTTGTTCTACAGCTGCTTAATTATACATTGTGATAATTTCAATCTGTATATGCATCATGTTCGACGTATTACGTTTTTCCTGATTGCTACGTCATACATATAATATGTTTAAACGTAGTCCATTATCACATAGCGATTCGACGTCAGTCTTCAGTGAGTACGAGTCGCGTGTATAGATATTGAGGGACATCTGTTTCTATCGCGCTTCACGAATATCCATTTTTCCGATTTTTTTTAAGTCGTGTGTTAATTATGTTTCCATCTACACTCCGTACCGTTCTACACCGCACACAACAGAAACTGACTACAACGTGCCAATTACATTTATATGCATCGCGTCTTCAACACTGCACAGGTCCACTGACACAGTTTACAGACGATGAACTTATGACGAAGGAAATGGTCGCTAAACTGGCTAAGCAGGAGATCGCTCCGCTCGTACGAAAGATGGAAAGGGAAGGAAAGATAGACGACAGCGTGTTTCAAAAGCTATTCAAGAACGGCTTGATGGGTATCCAAATCCCGACGGAATACGGTGGAACGGGAAGTAACTTTATGAGCACAATTTTAACCATTGAGGAAATCTCCAAAGTCGACGCGGCAGTAGCCGGATGTGTCGATATTCATAACACTTTGGTAAATTCACTTATTCTTAAAGTTGGATCCGAAGAACAAAAGCAAAGGTATCTACCTAGACTGGCTCAGGATTCCGTAAGTAGTTTCTGTCTATCAGAATCTGGTTCAGGATCGGATGCTTTCTCTTTGAAAACTGAAGCGAAGAAAGATGGAGACGAATACGTGATCAACGGTACGAAAATGTGGATATCGAATTCCGACGTAGCGCAGATTTTCATGCTTTTCGCCAATGCGGATCCTACCGCCGGTTATCGCGGCATCACGACCTTCCTCGTGGACCGTGATACACCAGGTCTGACGGTGGGCAAGTGCGAGGACAAGTTGGGTCTTAAAGCATCAGGCACCTGCATGGTATACTTCGACAACGTTAGGATACCCAAAGACAATCTGTTGGGAAAGTTCGGACATGGATATAAGTACGCGGCTGGATTTCTGAACGAAGGTAGAATCGGTATTGGCGCGCAGATGATTGGGATAGCGCAGGGATGTTTAGACGCGACCATACCGTATACGTTGGAAAGGAAACAATTTGGACAGGAAATTTTCTCCTTCCAAAGCCTACAGCACCAAATAGCTCAGGCGATAACGGAATTGGAATGCGCCAGATTGCTCGTTTACAACGCGGCGAGATTGGTGGAAACTAAAAAGGACATCATGAAGGAAGCGGCTATGGCGAAACTTTTCGCGTCCGAAACCGCGTGTCGTATCACCGCAAAGTGCATAGACTTTATGGGAGGTGTCGGCTTTACGACCAATTTTCCTCAAGAAAAATATTATAGAGATGTAAAAATTGGTACTATTTACGAGGGTACAAGTAATATGCAGTTATCAACGATTGCGAAATGTATTCGCAAGGAATATTCATAAATATGATAATTAAAAAAAGAGTATTCCTAAAATTATGATTATTCCTTAAATTGTTTATATACTTATTTCGAGGCCGATAATCGGCTTGTAGTTTGCAAATAGAAATTATAAAAATTTATACAAAAATATTACTAGGTATCAAGATCTACTTTGCCCAAATACCGTTTTCTTCATTTATTCATGTTATTTATAATATATCCATTGATGTTTACTTATTAAAATTTATTAAATATATTACGTGTATTCCATGTTTTTTAAGAATTTTTTTATATAATACAGCATATGTATGTAATTAAAAATATTTTTTTATTTTTATGCTATCTAAATTAGAAATGAATACGTAACAGTGTAACAAATAAATATGTTTTAAATATTTTTTATTAAATTGTTTAAATAATTTTTAATATTATGTGTATATATGTATAAACGCTTAAGAAAATAAAATTTTGTACAAATACGAATAGTTAAATTTAGAGATGTAGTTTTATATAAAATAATAAATTCAAAAGATGATATAAAATTTAGAAAATATAAAATATTAAAAATAGTAGTTAATTAATTAAAATACGATATTTTGTGAACATTGAGAAGAGCCAAAAATATGTCCAAGTAGAACAAAAAGTTATCATGGTACTAATTTAGCAGTGCACAATATATTTATACTTTATGAATTCACTCTAAAAAATAAAAAAACTGATAAATAATAGAAGCAATCAAATCAATATTTTTAAATACATCCATTTTTATTCTATTCCTTATCAAAATATCCCACATTTACTATTATACCAATATTTATTTGAGATATTTATCTATATTAATATCACACTTATATACTTTAATATAAAATACGTTATATTAATTTATCGAAACTGTAAAACGACAAAATTCTAATAGATATTCTAGAGAAATAATATTCGGAATGTTCTGACATTTGAAATTAATAAAAGATTACTGAATGCATTTGAATATAATGATGAATTAATTATACTTTTATGTAAATATTGTATATTATGTATTTATATTATGTATATTATGTATTGTATATTATGTATTTTTTTACATATTTCTTTATGCTAATAATGAAGTTTATTAATAATAAAGAGATATGTAAATTGGATTTAGGATAATCTATTCCATTATTTCATTTACGAAATATTTCGCAGTTGCAAATAATGAAAAAACTAGTTATCGTATTGCTATATCGCTCTGTCGGTACAAGGTGCATCTCACACAGGTATACAAAATAATATTAATCTTTTTGCTTTACTGAATATTATGAACAAGCATATTTAGAGAAATTATTTAGTAATAATAAAATTTCAATATTTTTAATAACTTTGACGTATTATTATCGCTACTAACGTCACTAACTTGTACTCATATTATATGAATGAAGCTTGTCATATATGACCATAACTGATTTAAAAAAAACGAGAAGTTATTCAGGAATTTAAAATTATCGTTATTTTAAAAGTATGAATTTCTACTTTGTTAATAAACATTGTTATTGAAACAAACCGATTAACAGGGATACATTATTGAATCGATTTTTCTTATATTCTCGGATAGAATGCATTACGTAGCTGTGGCGTAAAGTACGCGATATTCGCTCGTCGACTTCGTAGATAAGTATTCTAGGATTAATTTTATGAGTAATTTAGTGTTTATTATAAATTACAGAACGGACGATGAGAAAAATTATAAACCGTTGGATCGATTTGCATTATATACCATTAAGCCAAGAAGTAACAAGGCCATTTTGCCTCGTGTACCTTATACGCGCGCGTATCCCGAGAGGCCGTGAATTAAGCTTCTTATTTTCGGGATACGAGTCGTTATCGGACGGAAACGATTAATCGAGGTGATGGGCCCGTTCCGTCGGCACATTTTTCTAGAGGAACAATATCGAAAATGTTGAAGGAAAAGTTCAATTTTTATGTTTTTCCATAGGCTACGCTATCGGCGTGAAAATACGTGAGCGTCGAAATTCCATCGTGGACGCGAGCCAGTAATCGCGGAAACATTTAATGAAGATGAAAATGAAACCGCATACACGTGGCTATGTGTTAATTTGCTTCGTGTATTTCTACTGATTTTAATTTTAAAGAAATAACGTCGCAAAATCGAAGTATGTTTACCGCTCCATCACTTTCCACGAAACTAACGAGTCTACATATTGGCTTGGGCTCTCTCCGTGGTCCGTGCGCTGAATACTACAAGCACGTCGTTAACGCTTTCCTTCCAACGACCATTCTGCATTCTGTGGGATATTAAGATATCTTGTGAGAACGATTGTTTTTGGACATAAAAACATTCAGAAGATGGAGGACAAAGTCAGTGGAAACACAGCTGTCGAGACCGCGGAGAACAATGTCGCAGTCACCAAGAAGGCTAGCAAGAGTAAGGTTAAGACACAGCAGAAGAAAATATCGTCGCGGCCACCAACTTCTGAGATGGTGACAGCAGCTATCAAAGAGTTGAAAGATCGCAAAGGCTCGTCCTTCCAAGCGATCAAGAAGTACATAGTGTCAACGTACAAGGTGGACGGTGAGAAGGTTGCTCCGTTTATCAAGAGATACCTGAAATCTGCCGTTACTGCGGGTGCTGTCGTGCAGACCAAAGGTAAGGGTGCCACCGGTTCTTTTAAATTGTCAACGGACAAGCCTAAGCCCACCAAGTCCAAGGGAAAGGCGCCACGTGCCTTAGGTAATTCGGACGTATGGAAGGCTGGTACAAAGAAGGACGTGCAGACAGAAAAGGCTCCACGGAAACCAGCTGCCGCAAAGAAGACGACTAGGAAACCTGCGACGAGTCTGAAGAAACTAGCAGCCACTTCGAAGGCTGTCGCGAAGACTGCTGGAAAGAAGGGCAAGGCTGCCAAGGAGTGGCTGCCCAAGTCACCCTCGAAGACAAAAAAGGCTGTAAAAGCACCTGCAGCAAAGACCAAGACACCTAAACCGAAGAAAGCCACAGGGAAAGCTGTGAAGGCCGCAGCAAAGAAATAATTGTTCTGCGATGGATATAACTCGCTGCAGTTACAAATGGCCCTTTTCAGGGCCCAAATTATTTTTAACGAGAAATAACTCGAATGCTCGCAAAATTTATATTTTCGTTTTATTTCTAATCCTACATAAAATTATTTCAGTATCTTAAATATTTTAATGAACAAACAAACGTATAATGTATAGTAAAATTATATTTATGAAAATTTTAAATCATAACAGATACACGTCATGGTTAACACGTTTCGTGTGAAGAACTTTGTACATTTATTATTTTATATGTCTATAAAATAACATGTTAGGAAGAACTTTGCATATTTTTCAAAAGCATTCTTTCTCTTTTTAATTGTAATTTTAATATATTTAGCTTGATTTTTTCTTGTTCCATTCTGATTTTGCTCTCTTCTTCTTCTCTATTAAGCTGAGTGCGAAGAAGTTTCAATTTTAATATGTTTTCTCGCCTTTTGAATTCAATATCACTATTAACGTTATTAGATGTTCCATTGTTAGCTTTTTGATCATTGCTAGAAGAGATTTTTTGTTTCTTATGCACGAATTCACCAACATCAAAAGACGATTTTCTGGATACATTCGTAACATTTGTCGAATTTGCCGGGGCACTTGTACTTTGCACACGAATGTTGTCAATTCTGAAAAGAGACGTAATTTTATTATTTTATCGATTTATTTCTATTTACTAATTTTCATATATTGAAGTTATACTATATACATATATAAACATTATCTAAAATGAAATAATCAATAAGCATGAGATAAAATTGAGATTTTTATTAAGGATAATTAAAGAATCAATAAAAGAATTATGCATTATAATCTGTTAGACATGAAATTTACAGAACTGAATCACACATTACGTTCCAAATTTATAATACCTCGTTTCTTCGCATGTCTTTGCTAAATCTTCATCAGTCTGTTCCATTTTTATCTAATAAAAGAATTAATTAAAATATGAATAAAAGAATGTGAAATATTCAAATGTTTCTTCGCAATCTGCAATGATTACCTTCAAATTATCTAATATTTCATTTGTATATTCCATAGGTTTTTCAGTGAATTGAAGTGGGTGAGAAACATAAGAGCCACTAAAAAATTAAATAATTTATATAATTAACTATATATTTATATTCATATAATTTTATCTTTTATTGTTTTGCTGTTTGCAAGGAATTATTCGAACTTTAAATTATACATATAAATTAATTTTGAATTCTCTGTTTAAATAAAATTCTAAAAATTTTATAATTTATTGATATAAAACAAAAGATTAACAGATTTTATATTGATATTATAGTTTAGAGATTTACAGAAATGAATAAATTCTATTTTATTCTATTGAATAGTGTAATATTAATAATTGAGCAAGATTTAGATATAGAAAAATAATGTGATATATGTACCTGTTTGTGTCAAAAGAATGTGATACATTAGATAATTCATCATATTCATTCGTAACATGCTAAACATAAAAAATATATAAATATCTACATTTGTACGTATGTAAATAGTTCTTATTTATTATTTATTTTTTGTTTATACATACCGTATGGTATATGTATGTCATTAGATTTATATATATTTACTATTTATTATATTATATTGTAAATTACTTTATATTCAAATACATTATTATTATTATTATTAGGCGTTAGGAATTCGAAAGCTCATTGCCGCAAATACCAAATCCCGCCCCTGTTCCCGTTCCTGAGCAAGATCCCTCCATTTGTGACCCTCGTATCCCATTTCGTTAAATTCAAATACATTCAAATACATTTAAATTCAAATACATTATTCGTTATATTCAAATACATTACAATTTATAAACAAAATTAATGTTAAAAATGATTTGAATTATATTATAATGTTAATTATATTCAAAACTCTATAATTAAATATAATTACTGTACAGGATATGCTTATACATAATAAATTGTATTATAACTATATAAATGTGAGAAGAAACATATTTAAATTTTTTTATTTGAAATTACTATTTGAAAAGTATATCTTAAAACAAAATTTTACGATTTATTATACATAAAATTTATAATTATTATTTATATTAAAATAATTATATCAAATTTTAAATTTCTTTATACAATATCATACATTAGAAAAAAACATTTTCCTCATTGTACTACGATTTAGAGAACAATTAAATACATCTTTATATACACATTTTTTCAATTTTATTTTTAGAAAAAAAATTACGTCCCCGTGCTCCTATTTCACTTACATTATTTTCGGATTCATTCGAAAAATTACTCTCATCATCCTCAAATTCTTGAGAGCATACATTATATATCATATAATCAAATTCCGTTGGTGACATACTCGCTGGTACACTGTCGCCCCATTTTTGTAAAGCAGTAATGTTTTTTTTGGCAAACCACTTCCATCTTTGATATGCATGTCGCACTTCCTTCCAATCTCTTACGACCCCAAACGCCTTCAATTTCTCGGTTAACTCCCGCCATTTGTCGCGCTTTTTCAAGTACACTTCCGAAGTGTTGCTCTTGTTCTCTAAGATTTTTAGATGCTCGTTCACAAATCGAACGACGAATTCCTTCTCCTCTCGCGAAAAGTTTTCGTTCCTTGTTTTTCTGATCATTGAGAATAAAAATGGTGGCCAGTCGATATTAATGAAACAACTAAGAACTATAAACCTCTCTTTGTCTTCTAATCGTGTTCACGTATCCGCGTATTCAAGCGTTTAGAACCGATCGCTCGCTTCAGAGAGCTTTCTCTTTATCTGCAGCAGTGGAAGCTACGTACTGACTGTATTATAGGGCAAGAACCGAGAGCACAGGCTTTTGCATAACGTGTAAGAAAATCAACCAATCAGAGTCCTTCCTTTCATGGAAAGGAAGAACCCTCAGGCTGGTATTCATAGTCGGTTCTTATATTTAAGACCGTCTTAAATAGTCTTAAGATGTCATAAGCCAATCACAAAGCAATATTAGCAGGGCCGCATTAATCCGTTTTGCGCCTAGGAGCTGAAATATTTTTTTTCGAGCGACCTTTTACAAAATATGATATTACCTGGGCAAAATTTTTTTCAGAAGTTATATTAAGTTAATTAAAAAGTTGATTTTCTCGAAATCTTGCCATAAAAAATTCTTTATTTGAAATATAAAGAAAATAAAACTACAAAAATTAAAATATGTTATAATTAAAATGGTCTTTTTCTTCACATTTTAATGTAGCAAATTTATCGATATCATCGTAATTTAAGCTCGTGATAATAAATTCGATATGAAGAACAGAAAGCAAATTTAATATTTCTTTACTATGGATCGTGTTTCACTATAAATTCTCTCATTTATCTATAGTGACTTAAAATCATCCATATCAATGCTAAATTAAAAAAATCTTTCTAAAATTTGCTGCTCTAGGCACTTGATCTATGCTTTAGTACGGCACTCTGCGTATGAGCATCTTAAAATATTACTTAGGACTGTCTTAAAATAAGAAGACTATAAATATCGATCGTTGATTCTCTTATATCTTATGCAAAAGGCTCCGCCCAACAATGAACGAGTAATTCGACTGTCACATTTATCGTTAATGTTCGTAAAAATATATTAATATAAATTATAAAACTGTTAAATTGACAAATATCGACTCGAAACTGCACGTGTATACATTTCAATATTTTGTAGAAGTAAATGCATTAATGTAAGTTAACATTGTTACCATATATATTATTTGTTTGTAGAAACCGTCCCATAACAATAAATATTTGAAATAATATTAATTTCTAACGCGATTTACTACATCAATTGAATCGGAATGAAAGAAAATATAAGATTCTTTATTTCTTAAGTGCTTTAATTTCTAATATTGCCAACAAAAATTCTGATGAATGTTTAGTATAATGCTCTCTTCGATTTTTTTATAATATCAATTTGTGTATCTTAGCATAGAATAAATTCAGAAAGAAAACTGTCACCAAGTTCCGTTTTTTTTAGTATAAATTTGGATATCGATTAGAAAATGATAAATTAACCAAGTCTATTTTATATATATATATATATTAAAATTAAAAGTTTAAATTATTTTCTTATACAAATTATAGTAAAAAATAGTTTGCGATTCAAAGTTTATACTTTTATGTGAACATCAAAATCTTCTGAAATTAGAAAAAAAAAACGGGATTTGCAACAATTTTTTTTCGAAATATAAAACATACTTCACATCTGAAAACACGAATTCACAGAACACTATATTAAACATTCACTAAAATTTGAAGAGCACGTATATATACGTAACCTTTAATTATTTCAGTTATGTATGTAGCACACAAATATGCTTTTAGAGAAAATTCCGACGTATTGACAAATTGTTGGCCCTGAAAAGGGCCGTTGCGACTTGATTTTGAGAAGTGATAGAGCGGTGATAGAATTAACCACCGAAACCATAGAGGGTTCTTCCTTGACGTTTCAGAGCGTAGACCACGTCCATAGCTGTTACAGTCTTCCTCTTGGCGTGTTCGGTATAGGTCACAGCATCACGAATGACGTTTTCCAGAAAGACTTTTAGGACACCTCTGGTCTCTTCGTAGATCAAGCCAGAAATACGCTTGACGCCGCCACGTCTAGCCAATCGACGAATGGCTGGCTTGGTGATACCTTGGATGTTATCACGCAAAACCTTCCTATGGCGCTTTGCTCCTCCTTTTCCCAGTCCCTTTCCTCCCTTACCGCGACCAGTCATCTTGAACTATACTCGGATACGATCAACGATGCTAACTCCGTGAGAACTCGACGGAAAGTGTTGCCGTAGTTCGTATTGGCCATGCTTATATAAGTGAGAGGCAGCGCCTCGTATCCCCTCTCCTATACCAATAGCCAATCAGCGCTGTAGTAGTGTAATAGCGTAGCCGTAGCGCTGAAATTGTGCAAGGAAAATATAACTCTTTCTTTTTTCTTTGAAAAGTATTATCTTATTACAAAGACTAATTTTAACAGTTCTTTATATGTATTACTTATTAAAAATGTGTACATTAATTGTAAAATTTTCAAACATGGAAAAACAATCTTTATAATGTCAATAATACGGCTTACTAATACATGTTGAGTTGACATTTTTCTAAATTCTGATATCATCGATAATATTATAATTGCATTTATATAATTTTTATTGAATGTATTTAACTATATCTATTATGGCCTTATCGATAATTTAAAATTATATACATTACATAGTATTTCGTTCTAAGTCACAAATAAGCACTTGCATTCAAAACAAATCATTTAACACTAATCACATTTGTTGGATTTTTATTTTATTGAAGAATATTCTCTTGTTTTTATATAATTTATTCAATGCGTCAATGCATACAAATAATTTATGAAATACAATATAATTTAAAGGAGAAGGAAAATTATATTCAAATATAAATTCGAAAGATATAACTATGTGAAAAAACTAACTCTTATTTATTTAAACTTTTCTAAAAACAAGTTAAATTTTTTATTTATAGATATGCAAATTTTTCAAATAGAATTTCTGGTATCATTTGAAAATTTTATTTTATTTTATTTTAGCTTTATAACATCTTGTCTCAAATTAAAAAGGGAAAAATATATATATTATATATAATAAATTTAAAAAAATATTTCAGTTTTTCTTACAAGTGTGAATAATATTAATAATTAGTTATTTATTTGTTTTTTTTTCAGATATAAATTTCTAAAATTTATACGAATTTAATGAGTTTAGAAAATTTTTTATACTGAATTTAAATGTTTTTATATAGAAAAATATTACATAAAAACATTATAAAGATGAATATATTTTTGGCGGAATAAAAATGTATCAAAGAAATTATAAGATGTTCTAACAAAAATAGAAAAATATTGTTCTTATCGTAAGAAGGACTGATCATGATTGATAATTACATTTTTAACAAGAAAAGATTAACTGCGGAATCTATGTTTTTTTTTTACCTTTCTTTTAACGCACGTATAATATCTTTATATATAATGTACTGATATTATCATACTAATTGTAAGTGAAATTCAGTCCAAATACGCATCTAGTTTTTTGGTAGTATAGTCCCCAAAGAGAGTGTGACAATTACTTTACTTAAGCATACACTTTTTAATGCAAAAATGGTTCCACATGAGTTTATAAATACATTTACTTTTACAAATATAAATAACAAATACTTAAAATAATAAATACAAATACTTTTTAAATGCAATGAAAATTATTTGGTTAACCACTTTTGAATAAATAGTGACCATACATTAAAACTTTTTAAGAATTATTTATTACAACTTTAACAATTACATATATCAAAGTCGAGGTTATCAGAATTTGTCATTTAAGATGAAAATTTACTATTAAAATTACATTTTAATTCTAAACATCTCAGAAACTATGGAAGTCGACATCTAGTTATTAAGGCAGTGACTTAAAGTTTTATCTTTGACAACAAATCAAAATCAAGATCTTCGAGAATGTCTTCTAATCTAAATAATTATAAATTTATCTACTCAACTTTATGAAACAATAAAACAAATATTTTTGCAAAAGTGTTTTATTATTTTCCATCAACAAGTTTACTGAATTATTAGCAATAAAAAGCAAGTGCGATAAGAAGGAACATAAAACTAGAAATGCTCTATTTACAAAGAATAATGTTCATTGTAATTCGTTATAAAATTTTACATCTTGCTCAAGTATTTCACGTTTTATCGAAAGCTTTAAGAGATCAGCATAATGTAAATTTACATTTATAGCAAATTTAAAAGAAATCGAAGTGTATCCAGTTAAATAGATTTACTACAATATATAAAATCGATTTACACAAGAATCGGTTAATACAAGATTATAAACTTCAGAATATGTATGCTTTTTAATAAAATAAAAACTAATAAGAAAGAAATTGTATATAATAAAAAGTATCTTTCTCGATAAAATGTCATTAATATAATGTACATAATATTATCATTAAATTTATAATTAAATTTATATAGAATGTTAAAAAAACCATTCAACATTTATATGATAGACAGTTCACATCATACTGAGTAAAAAGTCTTAGTGAATAGGTCGAAAACTCAATTGTTTCTGAGATATAAACATTTTTTATGTTAGCATTATGAATAACTTACTGGCTTCTACGTGTCGCATGCGATGTTTACCTCAGTGTTTATAAACTACGTTTTGTATATCCTCATTCAATTTTCATACATATTTCGTAATAGAAGATTTCACTAACTGTGAAATACTTTCTGTAATATAACAAGTAATTCATTTATGATGCTAACATACAAAAATATTTATATTTCAGAAATGGTTGAGCTTTCGACCTATGTTTACTAAGATTTTTTACTCTTGTCAGTATGGTATGTATTATCTACCATATAAATGCTAAATATTTTTTTAACACTCCATATATACATATATTTAAATTTCAAAAAAATTGTAACTATAACTTGTCTTCTTAAATTTATCTTTGAGAAGTAAAACACATTTGTAGAAATAAAAATAACAACGTTATTAACAGATATCAATAGTAAGAACTATGACTCCGTTCTCGCTGTGATAGATAATGCTAACGATGAAGCGAAAAAATCCGATACAAACAATCGATAATGTGATACTTGAAATGCTAGATCTTATTCGGAAGGGTAAAAATGAAACGATTGGGTGAAAATGGTCAACCGCTATTCGCCGTGAATTTTTCTCCAAATTATTCAAAACGATCTCTACCTATGTTGTCAAATTAATATTTGATAACCTTACATTATTTTGACCAATTTACAAGACATCTATCAAATCAATGTATTGCTTCTTCCGCTCCCGGATTATCATCTTTTAAAGTGTTAACATATAGTATATATGTACTCTTTTTTTATGGCATCCTAGTTGTAAAAGTTATGATTTTTTTAAATATGACATCAATTCGTGAACTTTTTCATCAGTTTAATTAAATATTTTTTTTTTTGCAAATCTGATATTACATTTGTAATTTGCAACTTATAAAAAACTTCTATCTTTTGCATCAAATTTTATTTTTTATATACATTGTTTTACTCAGAGATAATAAAATACTCTTAAAACCATCACTTATAAATAAAAATGTTAAGTGAAATTCATAAGTGAAATATTTCTAGCCTTACATTTATGCTAAATTTGAATGAAAACAGAATGTTCAATTAAATAAGACAGGCTAGATTTATAGCGATACAATATTATAAGGTTTACATTTCTTTTTATTTAATTCATATATATTTCCTTTTTCAATAAATTTATTTAGTACGAACTTAATTTGCAATAGTGAGGGATGAAATTAATAGAATGCTCTATCCCTATGAGTCTAACGCATATGAAAGGGCTTTTGTGCAGTATTTCGAATTTAGTGTAATTTACAACATAACTGATATATTCTAGATTGTTCATTATGGTGCTTAATTTCTAAATTACGAATAGTGTTATCCATTTTGGAATTATAATACTTCGTGCACTTTTGAATTACGGGTTTTCATATAACTTATTTATATTATAATAATCGAGAATAAATGGACATTAAAAAAAAATACGAATATTTTTTACATAATTTATATTGACTAGATAAAAGTGTATATGAATTAAAGGAAATATAATAAAGGTGATGGTAAAATTGCAAATGAGATATTCTTCGTATGAGAAAATTAGTGGCCCTAAAAAGGGCCGTTTGTAATTGCTGCAGTTAAGCTTTCTTCTCAGTTTTCTTTGGCAGCAAGACTGCTTGAATGTTCGGCAGTACGCCACCCTGAGCGATTGTAACACCAGACAGCAGCTTGTTCAATTCCTCGTCATTCCGAATGGCTAGTTGGAGATGCCTAGGAATGATTCTGGTCTTCTTGTTGTCGCGAGCGGCATTTCCCGCCAATTCCAATACTTCAGCAGCAAGGTATTCCATCACTGCAGCCAGATAGACCGGAGCGCCAGCACCGACTCGCTCGGCGTAATTTCCTTTTCGCAGAAGTCTGTGAATACGACCAACGGGGAACTGGAGTCCAGCACGATTAGAGCGCGACTTCGCCTTTCCCTTAGCTTTACCACCTTTGCCACGACCCGACATAATTACAGTTACGTGAAGACCGAAAGATTACGGAGCGACGTGATTCGTACGATGTTCCCACTCGTAGTGTGGCTTCGGCAGGTTCTCGACGAGTATTTATACCATATTGCGATGGTTACGCGCGTCCAATAGGATGACGAGCGCGTGACGATTGGTGTGTCGCGTCACGCGATTGGTGCGCCACCGCTATCGCTTTACTGTATATATACAGCACAGCGGGCCGTGGCTGCCACTTTTCGAAGTTCCGTCTCAGCGATCCCTTACACGGTGCTGTACGAAGACTTGAGCCATGCCACCGAAAGCGAGCGGCAAAGCTGTGAAGAAGGCCGGAAAGGCTCAGAAGAACATTAGTAAAACCGATAAGAAGAAGAAAAGGAAGAGGAAGGAGAGCTATGCTATCTACATCTATAAAGTACTGAAGCAAGTCCATCCGGACACTGGAATCTCCAGCAAAGCTATGAGTATAATGAATAGCTTTGTCAACGATGTCTTCGAGCGAATCGCTGCTGAAGCATCGCGTTTGGCTCATTACAACAAACGCTCGACGATCACCTCTCGGGAGATCCAAACTGCTGTCAGGCTTTTGCTGCCTGGAGAATTGGCGAAGCATGCCGTGAGTGAAGGTACCAAGGCTGTCACCAAGTACACTAGCTCCAAGTGAATCATTCTTCAGATCAACGGCCCTTATCAGGGCCACAAATTTATTCGTACGTTTGATTTTCTTCTGGTTCGAATTTTTTTATATATTCATATATTTATTCCTTAAGTTCTCTCGGATCCTTACAAATAAAAAAGACAATTTGTATAATACAAACTCGTAACTAGGATTTCTAATTTAATTCTTCATAAAAATATTTGTAATTACATTTTATACGTTATTTGATTTTCATAAATCGCTTATGAATTTTGTGATCGATTTCGGTAAGCATAAACTTTTATGAAAAAATTTAACAATAACATGGTGTATTTATTGAAAATTTTACGTGTTCGTGCATCTTTGAAATGCTCCCCAAGCATTACAAACTTCAATAATTTTATTTTATACGAGACAGAGAGAGATCAGTCTACAAAAAACTTATATAAAAAAATTTAGGCAAAAGTAAGCTTAGGAAGCTGTTTTTTAACATCCTTTATCCACAAATTATCTACGAATATTTTCTAGTTCCGTTGCATAATTGATATTTTTTTTCGTCAAAGCAGCTAAGATAGTATATATTATATATTGCATAATTTCCAATCAGTAGAAAAAAATTTTTTGATATAGTCGTACAATCTTTTCTTCTTACCTGCGAAGACTGTGAGCGGTAGTTCTGAACACCTTTGATTTGAATCAGCGTTTCTTTTGGAATCTCATTTGAACTCCTTGTGCTTTAGCTTTCTTGTATTACACTCGTATATATTTGTAGGTTCTGTGTCTCCTAATATTAAATACAAATAAAAGTAGTTAAAAAAAGTTTACTGAGATTACAATGGAAACGGCGCATACAGTTTAATTGCATACACATCGGTTTGTTTCTAGTAATTTTTCACCAATAAAATTATATCTATTATTTTAAATTAGCCAAGTGATGTGGTCACAATTGATATACACCCAATTATAATTATGTATTAATAAATAAGACTGAAATATAATAAATAATATCGAAGACGTGACACTACTCTTCATCTTTCTTTACCTTTCTTCTTCTATTCTCCAATGTCATTATTAATTTATATAATTCTAAAATTTATTTCCGATTTATTTATAAAATAATTATCAATATTGTGTCCGAAATTATTTTTTGCTTAAATTATAAAAATTCATCATACTATTGAGATTTGATCATTTCATCATACAATCAATGCTGCTGGACTGCTACAAAAATTGTAACAAAAATTAAACATATTAAAAGTTATATGTACAAAATTCATACAGAATCTTTTCCTCTAACAATTTCTTCATAAATGTTTACGTCTTATTGTTGCAGTAGTGTTACTCATTTTCTATAATTAACTTTAAAAAGGTTATTTTATTTTTTACATTAATTATTAATTTTTAATGTTTGAATTAATTTAATTATTATTTTTTAATGTCTAAATGTATTCTATTACTATTTTTTTATTCTAATATTAAATATATTGAATTAATGTATTAATTCAATCAATGTTATTTCAATTTTTATTATAATTAAAGGTAATTATCCAAAAGAATTGCCTTATTTCGATTGTTAACTAGTGACAGTCAAAGGCAAGGATGAAAAAAAGAGAAAAACTCGACTCTCTTTTGCTAATTAACGATACCGATAACTGTCGGTAACTACGTATAGAATAATCCTCAATATATCTATTCTGTATTATAACTATGTAATTTAATAGCCTGGGCGGTAATAGCTCAAGAAAGGATATAACTTTTTTATTAGTTTTCTTAAAGATTTAATATTTAAATATTAAGAAAAATTAAATTATCGGTTATGTCGAGTTATTTAATACACGTTCCTGTTGGAACAAGTACATCTTATTCTGAGGGACAAAGATGGAGCTCTATTAAATTCGCGAATAGCTACGAATATGTCAAATTAATGTTGGAATAACCAATCCAGTTTAGGTTGTATGACAAAGTATTAATTCGTACATTTCGTAGATGAGATAGTTCTGAAGAATCACTCGTCCGCGGCGGACGCTCGGTTTTTTATTTTAGCTCGGATGCTTTTATCTTGTATGTTGCCGATTACTTATCTTGTATGTTGACTTAGACTATGTTTTCATAAACATATAGTTATAATAATTAAATTATGCGCATTTTATGTAACATTAATGTAAGAAATTAAATTGAATGATTAAAAATATAATGTATATATTTTCAATATAAAAATTTATATTAATTATTAATTAGATTGAAAGAATTAAATAAAGATAATAGATTGTAGAATTGCAAAACGAGATATTCTTCGTACGTGAAGAAATTGATGGCCCTAAAAAGGGCCGTTTGTAATTGCTGCAGTTAAGCTTTCTTCTCAGTTTTCTTTGGCAGCAAGACTGCTTGAATGTTCGGCAGTACGCCACCCTGAGCGATTGTAACACCAGACAGCAGCTTGTTCAATTCCTCGTCATTCCGAATGGCTAGTTGGAGATGCCTAGGAATGATTCTGGTCTTCTTGTTGTCGCGAGCGGCATTTCCCGCCAATTCCAATACTTCAGCAGCAAGGTATTCCATCACTGCAGCCAGATAGACCGGAGCGCCAGCACCGACTCGCTCGGCGTAATTTCCTTTTCGCAGAAGTCTGTGAATACGACCAACGGGGAACTGGAGTCCAGCACGATTAGAGCGCGACTTCGCCTTTCCCTTAGCTTTACCACCTTTGCCACGACCCGACATAATTACAGTTACGTGAAGACCGAAAGATTACGGAGCGACGTGATTCGTACGATGTTCCCACTCGTAGTGTGGCTTCGGCAGGTTCTCGACGAGTATTTATACCATATTGCGATGGTTACGCGCGTCCAATAGGATGACGAGCGCGTGACGATTGGTGTGTCGCGTCACGCGATTGGTGCGCCACCGCTATCGCTTTACTGTATATATACAGCACAGCGGGCCGTGGCTGCCACTTTTCGAAGTTCCGTCTCAGCGATCCCTTACACGGTGCTGTACGAAGACTTGAGCCATGCCACCGAAAGCGAGCGGCAAAGCTGTGAAGAAGGCCGGAAAGGCTCAGAAGAACATTAGTAAAACCGATAAGAAGAAGAAAAGGAAGAGGAAGGAGAGCTATGCTATCTACATCTATAAAGTACTGAAGCAAGTCCATCCGGACACTGGAATCTCCAGCAAAGCTATGAGCATAATGAATAGCTTCGTCAACGATGTCTTTGAGCGAATCGCTGCTGAGGCATCGCGTTTGGCTCATTACAACAAACGCTCGACGATCACCTCTCGGGAGATTCAAACTGCCGTAAGGCTGTTGCTGCCCGGAGAATTGGCGAAGCACGCCGTGAGTGAAGGCACCAAAGCTGTCACCAAGTACACTAGCTCCAAGTGAATCATTCTTCAGATCAACGGCCCTTATCAGGGCCACAAATTTATTTATACGTTTGATATTCTCTTGATTCGATTATTTTTAGAATACAAATTTACGTATTTGTTTCTAGTTTCTATTCTTGAATTTAAAAATATTTGTTATGTAAGAAATAATAAAGTTTTGAAATTATTATAACCATATATAGTTTATAAACTTGTTAAAACTAAGGTTTATATAACACTAATTAGGATCTATTAAAAGCAAGTTAGGGTTACTAATTTCTTTATTTTACGTTAAAAAACATTTGCAATTCGTGTTCTTATACGATATATTTGATTTTTGTGAATCATTATGTATCCTTTATCAAAATATTGAATTTGATATTAACTGAGATATTAACTGAGAATTAGTTTAAAAAAATGTTAAAATTTATAAAAATGTGGCAAATTGACACTTTTGTCTAACTACTTTGAAAAAAATATAAATATTGACAATTATTTAGATCAGATGAATATTTAGATAGTTTAAACACACAGGTCTCATATTTTCTGTCCGAATTTTCAAAATGCCGTAAAATATTTAAAATATTTAATATGTACATTAGCTGAATGATTGAAGTCACGATGTAAGTGTATTGTATGTGTGGCGCCATCTTTCTATATGCAAAATCGCCGCTGTAATATTTTTGTAGTGACTTTAGTACATATTGGCTAGTCTCGGATGTTTCATATTTCTTGTGTAGACATGTTAAAATTACATACGATAATACCCACGTGTCAAAAAATGTACAAATTACTGCCTTCTTTTATGTAACTAAAATTAGTAAATATGGTGATAAACATAGTGTTAAAGGTAAATATCGAACTTGTATATAGCTCTGGATTATTTTCTAAAGTAGTAAATACTTATTATAGGTTAGTTGTAATATTAAATAATTTGTGAATATTTGCAAGTAAGTTGTAAAAATGTTGAGGCGGCGTCACGTTAATGTTAAGACCGTTAAGGAACTGGATGCATTCCCAAAAGTTCCTGAGGTATATGTTGACAAAACTGCAGTTGGAGGAACATGTAAGTTAATAGTTATTACTAAATTCCTTATGTTAAACATGATATATATACTTATGTATTGTTTAATACTTATATGTTGTTTAATACATATATATGTTGTATTTAACTATGCTCTGCTCATTTTGATCGACTTAATCTGGTTCTGTTTCAGTTTCTATTTTTACAGTTCTTATTATTATGTATTTGGTAATAGCTGAAACAAGCTATTATCTTGATAGTAGATTACAATTTACATTTGAGCCAGATACTGACATTGATGCAAAACTCCAAATCAATATTGATGTAACAGTAGCAATGCCTTGTGGTCGTATCGGTGCTGATGTTTTAGATTCTACAAATCAACATATGATAGATTTTGATTCTTTGACCGAAGAGGATACATGGTGGGAATTAACGCAAGAACAAAGAACACATTTTGAAGCTTTGAAGCATATGAATTCTTATTTAAGGGAAGAATATCATGCTATTCATGAATTGCTTTGGAAGTCCAATCAGGTTACTCTGTATAGTGAAATGCCAAAGCGGTATGTGCAAATTAATTTAATTATTTGCGATTCTATGATATTTGTTGAAAATTGTAGATGTATTACAGTTTATGAACACAACCATTTATATCATTTAGATCATATGTACCAGATTATGCACCAAATGCCTGCCGTGTTCATGGTAGTCTGAATATTAACAAAGTAGCCGGTAATTTTCATATAACTGCAGGAAAATCATTGTCTGTGCCACATGGTCATATACATATTTCTGCATTTATGACGGATCGAGATTATAATTTTACTCACAGAATCAATAAATTTTCTTTTGGTGGACCTAGTCCGGGAATTGTGCATCCTCTTGAAGGTGATGAGAAGATCGCAGATAATAGTAAGTTTGTTTTATCTTGTAAGATGTTAGAAATAAGCCAGTGTGATATTTCAAATTTAATAGATAATAATAATTTTTCTTTCAGATATGATGCTGTATCAATATTTTGTTGAAGTTGTCCCTACAGATATTAGGACGTTACTAACAACATCTAAAACATACCAATATAGTGTCAAAGATCATCAGAGGCCAATTGATCATCATAAAGGATCTCATGGAATACCTGGAATTTTCTTCAAATATGATATGAGTGCACTCAAGATCAAAGTGACACAGGAACGTGATACAGTTTTTCAGTTTTTAGTGAAATTATGTGCCACTGTAGGTGGTATTTTCGTTACAAGTGGTAAGTATTTGCAAACAATGAATTTTTTAATAAGAATAATACAAAGAATTATTGAATTATATAAATTTATAGGCTTGGTTAAAAACGTCGTACAAAGCTTCTGGTATATTGTAAGCTGCAAATTTTTTAGTTTAGAGAGGAAATCCGATAATCATGGATCTGTCTCATCACATTCCACGAATTATCGGTCGCCTAATACTATAAACTTACTTGACGTTACAGCTCCTCAAAGTATTGATATCATGCAACCTCAATAAAAATTTGTATATTAAGTATTTATATTTTATATATTTTTCTTATGAGGTAATATTTATGATGTAAATTTATGAGGTTTATCGTATAATGAGGTAATATTATGGTATGATTGAAAATGTTTAAATAAGTAACGACATATACATTTAATGATATAATTCAGACAAAATCAATATAAAGAAGTCAATGTCTTTATGACATCTTTTAGATATATCTTTTAGACATATATATGTCCTAATATATATGTCTTTATAACGTATATCTTTCAGACATGTATATTGTCTGGATTTCCAGATGACATACATCCAAAAAGGAGATGTAAGGATTTTATGAAACATGATATGAGGACATCTTTATATGATGTCTGAATGACATCTTGATTATGTTTTCGGAGTGTCGATTGTATGTTTTGAAATGAGGAAAATTATAAAAAGTGAAAATTCACTAAATATTTATATATAATTGGTTAACACACGTAGTGAATTTCCTCACTTTGGAAATTTTCACTTCATTTCAAGATACACAAACCTCCAGAAGCGCATTTATATTTCTATTAAGAATGCTTTCCGAATATTATGTCAGTCTTAACATTCAATAAACAAAGGACAAAATGATTCCTGGGTGGCACTCTGATGGGAATCTGAATACAGCTCTGGACTTATACACGTTTTGGACGTATTGTTCTCTGGCAAGTTTCTATTAATTCTATATGTAAATATACTTATTGTTATATAAGCATTTATAAACGCTTGATATAATAAATTACAATTATAGTCGTACTTATGACATGAACTCGGCAAATAATGTGATGTAAAAATGACGTCAGCTTATTTGCTAGAAATGTGGCTATATTTGATGACATAATAGTCGCATGTTAATTTGTTTATATTACTATTATAAAATAATTTATAATAAATGAAGTTTTTGAAATTGCAATGCGTTGAGTTTTGTTGAATTGTTAGAAGAAATTAGTGCAATTATAGATAGTCGGCAAATATGCCATTTACTTTACCGGCAGAAAATAACTTGATTTTGATGAAACTCCCTATATTGTTAAAATGGACGTTGATGCGCTGGCGTATGTGTGTTTTGTCCATATGTTCTTCATTTCAGTTGATCTATTTATTGCAGATAAACGTAGGTGTTTTTCCACGTAAAATATAAAGTATACGTTGTATATTTTCACAATTGAGTGTAATTTGTGGCTTTTATAGTAATTTTATCCTTTTATTTTTGATTTCTTTATTTTAAGCAATCGATAAGTAATGTGTGCTTAGTAAAATAGTTTACTGACAATAAGCAAACAAGTTAACCTTAAAATAGAAATTTAACCTCAAAACGCATGAAGTTTTTTCGTATCTTTCATATCGTCATATAACTTCAAGGTTGAAGGCAATTATTATTCATCAATCGGAAATTACTCCAAAAAAATATCTTTACGAAAAAAATATTAGTAGCTGTAACGATGGCAGACGTACGCGATATTCTGGATATTGAGATACCGACGACTACGGAACTTACGAAAGAGTCAATATTGGGCAGTGACAAAAAGAATCGCAAGCGGTATGACTACAATAAAATGCCAAAACGTCCTGAAGGCATGCACCGTGAAGTGTTTGCCCTTCTTTGTAAAGACAACAACGACGTACCGCCTTTGTTCCCAACCGATACAGCAAAGGGATACAAGCAGGTGAGAGCCAAACTTGGTATGAAGAAAGTCAGACCATGGAAATGGGCACCATTTACTAATCCAGCACGTACAGACGGCGCGATTTTTCATCACTGGCGTCGTGTTGCTGATGCTGGAAAAGAATATCCCTTTGCAAAGTTCAATAAAAAGGTTCCTATTCCTACATACACAAATACTGAATATGTACAACATTTAGTGGCCAATGGCTGGACACGAGCGGAGACTGATCATCTGTTCGATTTGTGTAGAAGATTTGATCTTAGGTTTATTATTATCAGAGATAGGTGGGATCGTGCCAAGTTCCCTGCTAGATCCGTAGAAGACTTAAAAGAGAGGCAAGGATGATATACATGTATTTATAATTTATTAGTTTGGATACGCTTTCTGGAATGCCATTTTAAATAAATCCACAGGTACTATCAGGTATGTGCTGCATTAATAAAGGCAAAATCCCATACTGACAAGGTATATATCTTTGATGCTGAACACGAGAAGCGCAGAAAGGAACAATTGAAAAAATTGTTTGAACGTACTCCTGAACAAGTGGAGGAAGAACAAACTCTACTTGCTGAATTACGCAAGATTGAACAAAGAAAAAAAGAGAGAGATAGAAAGACACAAGATTTACAGAAATTAATCACAGCGGCTGATCATCAAGCAGATCCTAGGAAGAGTGAAAGAAAATCTTCCAAAAAGAATAGCAGCTCGTCTAGGAATAGACCGAATAAAACCGATACTTCTCATGTATGTTGTGAAATTATACTCTGTATAATGCTATGGTACTTTTATATTAAAGCATTTACAATATTTTTACAGGCAGTAGAGTCAGCTGGAATTAAATTTCCCGATTTTAAGAATAGCGGTGTTACTCTTCGTTCTCAAAGAATCAAATTACCAAGTAGTCTCGGTCAAAAGAAAATGAAGGGCATTGAACAAATGCTAAATGAGTTGCGTTTAGGTAAAAGAATATAATTCAATTTTTTCATACTATGCTTATAAAATTTTGAAATCCAAAATTAAGATGGAAACTGTTATTTACGTTATAGAATTAAATCCACCACCGACGGAGCAAATATGTCAGCAATTTAATGAACTACGCAGCGATATAGTTTTGCATTATGAATTGAGAAGTGCGTTATCAACATGCGATTATGAATTACAATCTTTAAGGCATCAATACGAAGCGCTAGTACCAGGAAAGGTGATTGTCAATGCAAATTTTTCAAATATAATGGATATGTAGTTTTATGTAATATCAATTGTTATATTCATCTTATATCTTTCTCATTTTAGACTTTAACAATACCACCAGCACTCCTACCAAAAACAGAACCGGAAATTAAACAGGAGATTATTGATGTGGTAGGATCGCCCAGTACGCCCAGTATTACTCATTAATTTAAAATAATCTATGTAAAATAGAGATTAATCAAATATGCTCTGTATATATTGTTCTTTTAATTACCGTTATGTCGATTTTCATGAAAGTTATTGACCATGCAGCATCCATTATGATGCGTTATATAACGAATTTTTATTTTATATTGAAGAAATAAAAATTTAAAAAAATAAATAACATATATGCTTCATTGACATACGAGTGGTATAATTAATGTGACCAGATGTTTCGTTTTCAAGATAGTTGTTTTAATGTCCTACCAAATATAATATTCAAAAAATGTGAGAGAGAGAGAGAGAGAGAGAGAGAGAGAGAGAGAGAGAGAGAGAGAGAGAATTATTGTATTATTTTTTAAATATATTGCCATTGTTTTATTTTTATATTTATAAATTCTCTCATCCATCTGACAAATTCGTTCTGCTTCGGATCCGAAAATCTGATCACATTAGGTATAATGAAATAACGAGAAGACGTAGCGATGGTAATTACTTATATATCTGTGTATTTTATATTGTCGACAAAAAGTAACAATGTACGGTCAAACCGTATAATTTATCTACAACAATCTACAATAGATTACAATATGTTGGTTTGTTTTGTTCTTGAGGATATAAGGGCGGGGTATGTGCTCGGGAGGAAAGGGAGGAAATATAAGATCGGAATGGGATGGAAGGACGAGGGTGTGAGTCGGCAAGTGTGAAGGGTGTCAGATGGTCGTCGATGCAGGCCTTTCTTCGTTCGTGCTCCGTTACTCGCGTTACAGTTGACTCTTTATTATTTTTTTTTATTCTTTTTCTTTCTTCTAATCCTATGATAAATTATTCGAGATAGCTCTAGCCGTACTTGGTACGGAATAATGCGTTATATCTGCGATAATAATCGACAAACCAGCGATCGTATGTCCCGCATTATTTCGCTACTATGCCTGTCTCGCGAGAACTCCGCTGATCGAAAGTAAAACGAGAGAGAGAGAGAGAGACAATGCGGTCAGGAGACATATCCGTCCATCAGCCGCGTACACGTCTGAGATCCCTTACAGAAATTTATTACTGGAAAGTAGTGATTATTTACTTATTTTGAACAATAAGCTGTTGTCTTTTAATATTTTTAAAATTCAAAATAAGTAATTTTCAGTATTAAATTGACCAGTATTATATTGGTTTTCTATAAGGAAGCATGTTCACTCTCTCTCTCTCTCGTCCTCGATCATCGTTGTCCTGACAATCACGGCCAGTTCTTTTTACGCTCGACGGTCGCATACTAATCTGTTCTTGTCACAAAGATACTTGTCCCTTCCGAGACTCGAGGCAGCGGCTAACTGTTAAGTCGTATCGCTCTTCTGAATCAAGGATTTTATTTTACAGCTACGGCCTACAACCTTCGCCGTTACGTTTTGAAATCTTATAAAAATTTACATCTCGGTAAGACACATAATACGCTCGTGCTTTTTCCCTATGTCGTTCTAGCCTTATCTACTAAGTAATAAACGCTATAAGAAGAGTTTTTAAATGCGTATGCAACATCATCGCCGTCCGCGATGTTTCTCGCGTATCTACATACATATACATACATGTCTTTGCGTACGGAACGTTGGAAATATCTCCTCGATAATCGGAGAGATACCGCTCAAGAGTTGGAGCTGCCTCGCGTGGATCGTCGCGTAGCGATCGATTTTGTGCTGTATATTCATATTTATTGAACACGGCGGGGCGACCGTGACTGAATGATGAACGCCGCTGTCTCGAGGTGTGTCATGTCCGATTTCCTAAACGAGAGACAGACTTAAACGTAAAATTCGCTGTCGGTGCACGGAACTTAAAATAAAATGGAACGGAGAAGTAGAAAGAGTCCACCTCCTAGGAAACAGTTTACATCCTGGACAGTCAAGTAATCGGTAAAGGGAGCGATGGAAGTTGCTCGAAGAAAAATGAAACTGTCGACAATATTCGTCGTTTAACGATCCTGTCCCGCAGGCATTTGAAACGCAACGAGATACATACTTCTCACTTATCGGGCTTAATTTCATTAATAACAATAACATATATCCGTATCTCTTGCCCGCTCTTGCGTGTCCTATATATGACAATATAATATGCATTAATATATCATATGTATGTACAATGGCGATGGAAGGGAGCGCTCTTATTCCTCTCTCTCATTCTCGCATAACAAGATACGTGCGAGAATCTTCAGGGCTCTCGGGCATTCGAAAGGGTGCTCCGATTTATTCATACCATCGATTCGCAGAGCATCGTCCGATACTATCTCAAGCAGAGACGCAAGTCATGATATTAAAATGTGATGTCGAAATAATTTCGAAATAATTATTAAAAGTTCGCTCTTCAATCATTTATGCCTTACGATCCATTTTAACGCCATTCATCATGACTTGTTATTCTGCTTGAGATCGAACCTTTAATCACCTCGAGTAATTAACGTGCTGGTGGATACGCGTATCGATAATAACGTAACCACGATTGTAGCATAACGATCCAACATGGCATGTGCGTGGAGAAAATAGAGCGCTTGATGTGAGTCCATTGCGATATTTTTACGTATCCCTGCGATCTAATTTGCAAATTGTAATTAGATAAATAACTATAGATACGAGAGTATGTCGAGATGTAATTAAAAGAATCAGCGTTCTGTCGCCCAACGGCTTCATATACATCTCCCTTAATTAGAACGTCATCGCATAACGCT